ATTTTTATTTAATTTTATCCGTTTAAGAGTACCAATTCTGTGGTTGCCAACAAAGACTAAAGATTATTAGTAACAGAACATGCTAATTTAAAGTTAGGAATACAATTACCATTTATTATCTAATCAATTGTAACACACATTTAAGAATCATTTAAATATCATAAAATACAACATAAAAGTTCTAATAAGTTTTTGCATACGACTAACACCAATTATTATTCAGGTATTACCAACAGTAAGTTATGTTTAGATAAATGTGTACTTAATATGAATTTTAAGCAATTATTGCAGTTAAATTATAAGTAACATTTACCTGCCTCTGCAAAATCCAGAATGCAAAAAGAGAATTTCAACAGTTATTAATATTGAAACATGCTAATTTACATATAATTAAAAATTATAAGAGTACAAAAGATAAATGTTTACACTGACCTGGTACACCCATTCTGTAGGTCTTCTGTACATACTTCAATCCATGAACAATTTCCCTTTGAACAATAAATTCAATGCGAATTCTGTATGATACCCCTTCTTTTATAGTAAATGTTTCCTTTTTGAGCTTTGATAAGTCACCAGTAAGATCTAAGGACACTTCAGGTCTGCCTGCTACCACAAGCACTAACTTTTTGACAATAACTTTTCTAGGATCATCTGGCTCTGTAAGCATAACAATAAAATAAAGAACTGCCACAATAATGAAACATTAATAAGGTCCCTACCTACAACAATTTTTCCTGATTGTGCCTCTCCCAACAAAGCTTCTTTATACTTCCTAAGACTCTCATCTTCTTGATCTGCTGCAAGGATTTCTTCAATGGTCTTTTCTGGGGGTGGTTTATAGTTTGTTTCAATTTCGTGTTCGATATCTTCAGGTGTGTGAACTTCGCTTTCGGACATTACTATTGGTTATCTATACAAAAAATACTACAAAAATCACTTCTGTTTGTTAAAAAATGTATATGAAGTTACTGATTCGTCTTTAATTCAATCTAAAAATACCTATGTGACATATTTCTGAAACATGTATACCGGTTTTTTGAATCACAAAACTATAAATACTTGTATGGAACAAAATAATGATTAATAAAAACTTTACATTAAAAGTGTATACTTACTTTAAAACCTAATTTAAACAGAAACTTATATAATATAATCAGAAACTTTTTTGACTAAATCCAGAATTTAGTATGCCATAAACTTAATCCACAAACTATTCAACGCAGCGGGTGGGTGTGTTTCTGTCATGGTTTTGTGTTTTTGGGTGTCAACGATGTCAAACAAATGTGACAATTATGTCTTCAAATTTGCTATTACTATAGAACAATTTATAATTGCACATAATTTTCATAGTAAATATCGGTCATATATTGAATTATGCATTTATGATTATTTTCATTCACGATAAGTTATTCAAAAAACACGACCGCGGTCGTTAGTTAATGATCTTTATAAATTAGGCAAATGTGAAAAGACTTAATTTACGTGCTGAACGCTATGTATGTTTAATGGAACGCACCCTATTTATTCATAGCATAAAAATCATAAAAAGATATTTGTTCAGGATTTGATAAAGCTGAACAGCGAGTCTTGCCAAAGTAAATAAACACAGAAATCAAGAAAGTAATTAATTTATTGTAATCAATCTAATGTAATTATTATGGTCATAATTATTTATCTATGATCAACTATTAACTATTCTAAACCTGTCTAAACCTTAAGTAAAATAAAATTGCTATTTTTGTATATTCATTTCTATTAAAGGAAAATATTTTCTTTAAAGTTACCTTATAAAAGAGGTAGAAAAGTGCTTTTCTCAATTCCAGTCCTCGCCAAAGTGGCTGAGTTACAAAAATATGTTCTAATTTAGACAATTTCATTTTATGTTCGTGGGCTAGTCTTTGAGTGCCTTCCCCACAATTGAACAAATATCTAAAATTGAAAGAGAACTTCACAATAGAAAATGTATCTTCAGAAATAACAAACGTTGAGATTAATTTTGCAAAAATTGATTTAAATTAATAGATGATAATAAAGGTGAATGGATAAATATTTGACAAATTGTGGAAAGTAATTTTACATATTTTCATATTTAACTTTTTTTATAAGCTATTTCTATTACAATTTTTTCTACAAAATTGTATAAAATACAAACCTGGACTGATCCGAGAAAACATACAAGCTTCTTGGTGCACCAGGAGCACCCGTGCCAAGCACTTGCAATGTAACTCTACCAGGAACATATTTAGCAAGCTTTTCTTTGATTTTCTTTCGCTGTTTTTGGGCTTCTGAAATATGCTTGGGATCTTTAGGCATGGATATTAAAATTTGTTCTAGGTTAGAATTTTTACGAGTCGAATAAAAACGCAAAGGAAGTGCAAACAGGGTCCTACAATAATTACAATAGGGAAAATGGAACATTAGGAGAATAACACTGAACAAATACCAGCACGTAAATTTAGCTTTTTTTAGTGTTTAATTTTTCATGCAATCTACAAGAATTTTACCACACTTTTTTGTTTTCTTTTTAACTAATTTGAAATAGTTCAACTAAATGTACCAATCGTAGACAGTGTCATGATCAACATTCGATCGTTCATTTGAACTAATGACTTCTATGGTCTGCACAATCAGATTTACAGCGTATACTTATATATAAGATCAAGAAACTTTCCAGCGAGGAACACATAAAGTGACACAAAACTTATTGGACAGTACTTCTTATGATAAATGTCGACTTTAATTGACCTTATCCTTTCTGGTTTAAAAGTTCCCATATCGAACTGCTTGGGTTAATTCTTCATTGGTAAATTAGAAAAGTATTATTATTTATTAGAGTTAGAGAGGTATAATTCTACTAATACACGAACTACTACTAATGCATTGTCGTTCATCTAGATGATAGCAAATTAGCAATAACAGAAATTTATATTTCTTTGTACCATGGCGCTGGCAAGGATTCAGTATTATTTCACAATCAGTCATATTCCAGGTCGTTTTCCAATTAGAGATTAGAGCACTAGAGCGCACAATGCGGCATTATGCGCATCATTATCTATGCGCATCATCGAGTGTTCCAACTACAGCAACGCCTCGCACCGTTGAACACTTTGAAAAGTACTGCCTAGTCCGATGCGCACAAAAAAATATAATTGAAATAATAAAAATCGAAAATAATTATAATATTTAGAAAAAGCTCTCGACTAATTATTATTATTGTTGTATACCATTCCCTTTAAAAGTACATTAATAAGGTTGCTAAGTCGATGACTGTTTTTTTTTTCTCAACACTGACATTAGTGTACTCTGTTGGCGCACTTGAAAACTAATACACATTCCAATTAAGCACCATCACACTTCGGCATGGTCGCATTATGCTGTGTAATTGAAAAACTACCCCAGTGTCGTGGAGTAATATCTATGAAGAGTGATTAGGACCTTATCTATGGCGTAAGACCATAGACGCAAGATGTTAGGAGGTTAGGCTTTTTTCCAATGTTTACGCTATGGCATGGTTATGGCTATAAAACTTTCTTCTTTTGTGAAAATACATATTAAATCTGTATCAAATATACAAAATAAGTCTTCATACACATGGAAAAATTAAAATATTGGTTTAATTAGTTTAAGATCAAAAAATGTGCATGGAGTATGATGAGTCAATGACAGACAATCCATTTTTTCAAGAAATTCAGAAGAACTACCAAAACCTTATCCACGAAGCAATTAAAGAAAAATGGATATTCTGCATACCGCGAAGAGGAACAATTTATGGTCACAATTTGAATGCGAACGACATTTTTGAACATGTTCTAGTGCCATATCCTAAAACTAAAAATAATTGCTACAGAACGTTAACTAATAAAAACGTGCACATTAAAAATAAGTGTCTTCATATTAACAGAAGTCCCTTAGAAAGCAAGAACTTTAAAATATTATTTGAGGAGACTTTTTATGTAAGTAACCAAGAAAAATATACTGTATGGTGCATCAATAAACCTTTACATTATTTGCACAATGCAGAAATCCACTTTGATAGTAATAAAATTAATACTTTACAAGATTGCATCAATCTTTTAAGTAAATATTGTGTTGTTACTGATATTTTAAAGTTAATAGAAAAGGAATGTAACAAAATATTAGCATTACATAAACATTTGGAAACTGAAAGTCTACAGAATTTACGTAACATTACCAAAGAATTGTTTATAAATGTTTTAGATAAAGTTATGAAATTTGTAAATGTAAATGAGATGGAAACATCAACTACTCTTGACAACTTCAAAATATCTGTTGAGACATACATACAATTTATTATATACAAAAGACACTTCCCAGCAGTTTGCAATGCTACGGCTTATTTGGACAGTAGTCTTAATAAAATTATAAGGAACAGTTTTCATGTAGAGTGTAAGGATTTAAATATAGATTCATCACTACACGACTACATATCTTCTGCTAAATTGCAATTAAATAAAATCAACAATTTTCAGACAATTTTAGACAAAGTTAATTGCTTAAAGTCTTCTTTCCAGTTTTGTAAACTCAAAAATATTACAAATAACACAAAACTTCTTTCTGCTGATGACTTTATAAATATAGCTATATTTATAATTATTAAATCAAATGTTTACAACTGGGTGGGAAATGTGACATACATTACTCAATTTATTTGTAATAATTTCTACTCCTTTAATGAAAACTCCTTTTTTATTACTACTCTTGAGGCTGCAGTGCAACACATACAGAACAGAGGAATACTAACTTTAAAGAATGAAATTGTTAAAAACGACTTAATTAATAATTTTAGTACTAAATTAGAGTTGCTGTATGAGCACATTAAAAGTAATAACTTTATGAAATTTCAAGAACTGTTTGCTACTATTACTCATAAACCTATAGTTCAGTACAATCAACAACTTTGCCATCCTTTATGTTCCTGTGAATCTTGTGAGACTGTATTAAAAGATGAAATTAATATTGATACTGTTGACGAAAAAGGATGTACATTGCTTCACATGGCTTCTTATTATGGAAGATCGCAAATAGTAGACGAACTCATCCATAAAGGAGCCAATGTAAACTGTGTAGATTTTATGAACAATTCTCCATTGCATTATGCAAGCAGTAGAGGAAACCAAGATATACTTTTGCTTCTTTTACATGCAAGGAGTGAAGTGAATTTAAAAGATTATAATGGAAATACACCCCTTCATCTAGCTTCTTACAATGGTCATGAAAATTGTGTGAAAGCCTTACTTTATAGTACAATACAGAAAGAAAAAGCTGTAGATATAAATTGTCAGAATAATTCTGGAGACACAGCTTTACATTTGGCTAGCAAATTGGGTTTTGTAGAGATTGTCGGCATTCTTCTTCAGTATGGAAGTAATCCAAACATAAAAAACCATAAAAATATAGACGCAGTCGAACTGGCTCACAACTATTACGTAAAGCAAATGATAATTTTAACTAAACTACACGGAGTAGAAAATACAGATAAACACACAAGCAATAATAACGTTACTAAACCTAATAACAACGATCAAACTGATAAAAATATGGAAAATCCTGTATTAAATGATATTCATACAAAAGGTTACAAGCAAATGAAAAAGGTTGAGTTAGTGTTGAAGGCTATAGAAAACAACGATACTCCATTGATGTGTTACCACCTGGGAATACCATCGTCCCACACTAGCGCCTTACAACAAACAATTGCAGGAGAATGTCATCCCTTATGCCTATGCGAAAAATGTCAAACAAATGGCGAGATAGAACACGTAAAATCTTTCCCGCCTGTTTCTAACGCTATCCACGTAAACATTTGCAACACTGGTGGATACACCCCTCTTCATATAGCAACAAAATATGGTAGAAGCGAAATGGTACGTCTACTGCTTGACAGTGGGTCGTCAGTTAATGCTAAAACATTCAAACATCAGTTTACTCCTTTGCACATTGCTTGCCTATATCAAAGAGTGAATTGCATTCGAGAATTATTGAAATCAGGAGTCTGCGATGTAGATACACAAGATGCTAAAGGTAACACGCCCCTTCATTATGCAGTTTCCGTAAATAATGCAAGAATTGTAGAAATTTTGCTAGGGGCTGGGGCAAATGTTACATTAAAAAACATATATGATAAGACATCTCATCAAGAAGCCAATGAAAGAATGCTACTTAATATTTCGAAATTATTTAAAAAAAGATATGAAAAATTGGTCGACGATTGTGAATTACCGTTAGAAATTTAATTTTTTTATGCTTAATGCTGTAATAAAATTGCCACCGCTTTTTTAAATAATCAACACAAAAAATATATACAGTCAAAAAAGCTCTTGTCGTGGGAATCATGCTATTTGTCAACGTTTTAATTCGTTGCAGTCAATCATACCCCCTACATAAAGTGCATAGAATAAATAGGAGACGTATACAAATTCAGCATAAGCAGAGGGGTTAGAATTATAATTATCAGCTATTCTAAAAGGTTTTGATTTTTTGTGACTTTGACAATTTAAAGTGACAACTTTGACAATATGAATAATGAAAAGCAACTTTTTGGTTTTTGCATTCCCAAACAAAAAACAATTAAATTATTTCGAGATAGAAACACCAACCAATATCCAAGCATATTTTTTGTAATAACACAAAACTTTTGCAGTTCTGGTGTTTTTTAATTTGATGTATCGATATTAATAATAGGTGCTGTAATAATATAAAAAAAATACCTTTTCAGTTACAAACCTAAACAGTAGGGAAATTTAAAAAGGCATTTCCGTTTATTCATTAAGTAATTTGTTTTCTGCAGTTGCTTCTTAAGGAATTTAGAGAGTTATAATAACTGTGTGAGAAAAATTAGTTTTTGTGTGCAATCTTACTTTAACTAGCTGCCCAAGATAAAATAATTTGATATGGTGAAGCTGTACTGGATGAGGAAAGAAATAAAATCCAATAAAAAACGACAAAGTTTAACCATTTTTAAAACCGTCAAAAATCATACACTGCTAAAGGTGCAAAAAAACTATCTGTTTTTTAATATTTACCGTCTATTTTGTTTCACTGTTAATTTTTACCAGCTTCATTAAATCAACTGTTGTTACCTCGTACAATTAGTTATTTACTATTTTTTGTACAAAACTGATTTTTTTCGCACTATAACTCTCGATCGTTCGTTTAAATAATTAACTGTACCTACTTGACGCTTTTGTAAAATGTGATTAGTTAAAAATAGCAATGATATCAAATAGGCACTATAATTTATCATCAGGTGAGAAGTAAAAAAAATGATATACTTTAAAGCTATTTTATTTCAATCTGTATGCGACTCCCTTAAGGTTGATTTTTAGTTATTATAGTACACAACACTAATGATAAGTAATATGTGACTATGTAATTCTGTGATAGTATTTGTAATATACTTAAAAAAATAATTTGTGTGATTTTCACAATTTAGATATCTTTATTAAGAATAAAATGTTTGTGTATTCTAATTTGCATGGATTAAATCGTCTAGTCGTTATCAAATTTCTGGTCAAATGCAACATTAAGACTCGACACTTTTTGATTTTAAAATAAATTTATTTCAAGCAGTTTATCCGCTAAAAATCCTCATTTTAAAATAATTGCAAGATATTTATATATACATATTAGTTAGATGAGATCTATTACATTATTAAATTCGTTATGTCTTTTCGGTTGTTGATTTCTATTTTTGTATTGAATTATTTATATAAACACTTATATATTGCTTTTAAAACAAATAAATAAATTTCAATATTTTTTTTATTTGTCCTTTAATCTTTACCAAAGTTTGTTACCTTTTGTCTTTTTACGATAACGAGAAAAAAATGTACCAAAACCCCAAGGAACATAAAAGAACGCTTTTTTATTCTTACTATTAGTGGATTACAACATAATATATGTTTTTTTATTGTTTTTCCATTTTAAAAGCGTTAATGGGTTTCATTTCAAATGTTATACTGAAAGTTGTACTGCTTTACATTTAAAGTAATACATTTCAACTTTATAACCGAGTGTTTCATATGGACCTAAAGATAATTGAATCATGTTAATTTCTAAATAGATCTAAACATCTCGCATTTCATTTTAGCTGCTTTTGTATTTCCAACATATTTTTATTAAAACTTACGATTTCATTTACACAAATCAAATAGAGTCCACTAATAATCGTAGTAATTGAATGTTCACTGGGCAACGTCTATCGTATTAAAAAAATATTTCAATAAATCTACAATAGCCAATTTTATTATTTGGAATAAATTAGAAGTGAAAGATTAATTGTAAAAATAAAATATAATTCTTTCTTCGTAAACCGGTACAACATCCGGTCTACAATGTTTTGGAAATAAAAAGTGTCGGTAGCACTAACTTACTTTCTAAGATTTAGAGATGAGCTTTAAACTTTCGAGATATTTGAGCTATCTCTCATTGTTTAATTGTACTAATATTGAAAAGGACTTCTTAGAACGTTGAAAACACAAAATAATTCTCTTAAAACAAATACTAACTACGCTAAAATATATACCTTATATTACATTTAACTGCTTGAAAAGAAATGAAAATAAAATTTAACTCAAAACTTAAAGTTTATAAGCTAAATGTGAAAATAATTTGTAAAGGTGATATTTTTTATTCCTTTGACATTACTCAAGAAAAGAAAACATATTCTCTTATTTGTAGCCTTTCTTTATAGTTTTTATAAAATACTTAGCGTGTAATGGAAAGAAATTTATGAAAGTGTACTTTAAGAATAATTAAATAAGAACTACATTGAATGTCAAGGTACAAGCAATACCGCTATCTATTTATATTTACTGCTAACTGTAGTATTTCACATGTTTGACAAGAGCCTTACGAAGGTATCTGTCTGCTTGATGTAGTAGGTACGCAAGCCAAATTAATGAAAAATATTAAGCTCTGAATATCCATCACTATTTTAGAAAAGCACTTTATTTGGTAAACAGTACGTACATACAACACAATCCTGCACTCGTTTTTACAATAATTGTAAACTATTTTACAATTACATATTGTCTATTAAAATTACAGGGCAGCGTAAAATTAAAATTATCAATATAGTACTTTACCAAAATAGCTTCAAAGGCAAAATGCAAAATGTATTTATCTATTATCTCAACAATAAAATTAATGCACTGGTACACTTTTGACTTAGACGAATGAAAACTTAAATCATTAATTACATAACAAAAAAATACCAAGTTTACTGATTTCTTCCTTTTATCATCTTAATTGCACCATATAATTAGCATCACGAAAGTATAGAATTTGGTACACAAATAATATACTTTTCAATACTTGATTATCTTTTCGTGATATTGAGTAGAGATAAAGTATGTTCTGTAAACAGAAAAATAGACAACTACCATAAAGATATGAAAATAAAGGTAGCAGTTTCTGTTTTCATTTGAAGAATATCTATCTGTAACTGTTTTCTAAACTTTTGAGGTAATATTTGTAGCTTTAACAATAAAAAGCAACAATGAAAAGTTGCTTAAAAAATTAAATCGTTTAAAATTGAAATTAGAAAGTGAAAAAGCGCTTAAATTTTAAAAAAAAAAAA